CTTCGTTGTCAAGTTCTTTGAATTCTCGTATACTTGTATTTTGATTTGTCATTCAAGCTTATGTAACAGCATTTCCCATTAGTGAGGAGTGTTTGATGATTTGAACCTTTTAAAACCCTTTATTCTACATTCAACACCATCACTTGATAAGACACCAGAAGTGTTGAAACAAAATGGCTATTTTTGTAGTGATTTTATAACATATTTATGTTATAATTTATATATATATATATATATATATATATATATATATATATAGAGAGAGAGAGAGAGAGAGAGAGAGAGAAGCAGCACTAAGTAATCTCCAGAATATAATTTTACATAAGTTATGAGTGTCATGTTCACATTTGTAAACTGGCCTGATGATCTCTGATTGAAAAACAGTGAAACTCTAGTAGCATTGATTCTTTAAGAATTGATTCAGTAAAAGTTTAGAGAATCTAACGTATATTTATCTAAAACAAATGGTATGTACGTAAAAATGCTCTGAAATCAACAACAACAAACACAATGTCTACTAGACATACACACGCACACAATTACGAATACACATTATCATCTGAATCTCACATAGACAAACTAGAATTATACACTTACATACATAAAGCAATATTTACAGTTTTTCAGTTGACATTTGAAATCTGTTAATTCCCTGGAATTTTAAATGGACATGTTTCTTATTGAATTCAGGATGCCATATGTTAACATTTAACAAGTCAAACACACATGAAACATGATTAACCAATGAAAATCAAACAAAAGTAAAAATACCAGAATTTTTCTTCTATTTTTCACCATATCTCATACTCTGATGAAGCTTTAATAAAAGCAAAACGTTAGATTGATAAAAGTTTCCTATTTGTTTCTCATTCTGTTGAATTTAAAGCCATATTTGACCCTAAATTTTTTAATGTATATCTTCAAACATTATTTTGATAATAGCCATTTTCAAGTAGATGCCCTGATTTTTTTTTTTATTATTAAAGAATGTGAATTATGATGTTTACTGGCTTGCAAATTCAAGAGACTCGATGTGCTTTCTGGCAGGGTCTGAAGCTGGATCCCCTTTTACAGCTAAAACCATCTCATACATAGCCAAGCAGTCTAAAGCATGCTGGGTTAGACAGTGTCATCTCCAACAAAAGGGGGGGGGATATAGCTTCAAACCGGGGAAGTACATCATCTTTATTAAGTCTCTTGAATGTTGAGGCCGATAAACACAATTCTTTCCTTCTAATTTAATGATGAACTCTTCATACACAGATTTCCATCTAATGCAAAACATTTGGTTTGAAACCAAGAAAAGTGGTTAAAAAACATAAGCATCTTCAATAGATTGTTAAATTCTACAATAACCACATATCTACACACACATGAATACAGACATCCACACACGAATACAGATACAAGCACCCACAGATATGCAGTCACACACACAATGTACACAGTGACACATACACACAGATGTAGACATAGTGACACACACACACACACATGCAGATATAGTGACACACAGATGTACACACATACTAAACGCTGTCTTAAAAAATTAATTTTACCTTTTCATTTGCAAATTTTGTTAGAAATTCCACTTTTATGAATACCCAATCCATAAAAAATTACGAATTGGCTCCCCCACCACAAGAGTATTATGCAACTTTTAAGACCATCTCTTGAAAGGCAAATACAAGAGCACAAACCACAAAGTGAGATGCTTCAGCATTCACACCTCCCCAACTTTTTTTTTTCACACAAAGATCGTTTCAGCTTTCCATAATGCACCTGACAAAACTCGTTAGCAGCAACACAATACAGTGGGGATTTCCATCCTGAAAAGACAAACTAGTGATGTTCCATCATCACTGAGCGTGTCCTGAAATTTCACCTATCATCACAAACAGATGTTCTCTTAGGGAGGCCGTGTGCCTTGAGCACCTGTTGGGGCTTAAACTCAATCAAGACCTCAAGTGGAACTCATACATATATCGCTAAAGATGCTGGAAAAATGGTTGGTTCCCTGTATTGCTGTAGTAAGTACCAAACTCTTCCTGATATCCACTATGTTTATAAGATTCAGATCAGACCGAAAATGAAGTACTGCTGTGGTATCATACATACACAGACAATCAAAACAGAAACACCTTGTTAAAAAAATTAATTTGCTACCTTTAATTAATGTTTCCATCCCTGTGAGGAAATAATGTCATTTGTTCAATCAAAATTTTTAATTTCTCTTCCTTCCTTTTTTTCTTTTTGTAGATCATTCTGATGCAGATAAGGGGCAAAGCCAGGGGCTCGATACTGTCATTTTATTTCTAATCTTTCAGGTTGTCAACTTGGTTGGGGAGGAGGGGGCTAATATAGAGAAAATTTCACTCCTTGTTTTGCACCCACCCCACTCCATTTAACAACAGCTCAGTAAAAATAAAACACAATTTCCATTTTGTTTTGAAAAATATCAGCAAACTTACTAAACAGCAGAGATTTTAAATAAGAATGATAAGAATAAAAAAATATATCTGAAACCTCCTGACGAGTGGACTGAACGATTACAAAAAGGTTTATCTATGAAATTCTGCAGTCTGGATGCTGAAGTGATAAATTTGATCATATATATATATATATATATATATATATATATATATATATATATATATATTTTTATTTATTTATTCAGGATGGCCTGAAGATTGCATTTATGCATGAAACAGACTTTTGCCACAGGCTCTTGATCTCAATGTCCACTTTTATATTTACATACATGCTATCCCTGATATTGAGCATTTTAATACATAAATATAGTATACTATAAAAATATATTTTTATTACGTATATCATATATAGTCGTGTAATGCAGTGTTTATCTTAAATACAGTTGTACTTTTTTACTACAGTAAATGCATATATATAGTGTGGCCAATGGTATAATTGCATATATATAGTGTGGCCAATGGTGTAACCAGGACCAGCAGTACATATGCTAATTTTATATCTTGTGTATGATGCAACCCCCTTAAAATTATCTTCAAAATTAGGTTTTCAAAAGTCACGACACACAAACACACACATATATATATATATATATATATATATATATATATATATATATATATATATGGTATCAAATGGAAAAAAAAATTATTACATTTTGTTATTTTTTTGTTTGTCTTCCGACTTTTCAAGGCAAAAATGAAATCGAAATGTTTTTGTATAGATGTTATAGTTACATTAAAAATCCAAATTTAAAAAGATATAGTTGCATTAAAAATATATATATCTTTTTAAATTTTGATTTTTAATGTAACTATAACAACAAAAAAGTTTCTATTTCATTTTTTTGCCTTGAAAAAAGTATGGAAGACAAAATTTTATCAGCAAAATGTAAGATTTTTTTTTTATGGTCATTTGATACCAATCTGTCTTGTCCACAGAATTCATCTGGGAATTTAACTATATATATATATATATATATATATATATATATATATATAAAAAATCACACATATAGTGCTAAATGTTAAAACAGTGATCAATGTAATACAGCAGAGTATATATTAATAAATATACACATTATCCCTCACTGATAGCCTGAGTTTCATGCACAATACAATCTTCAGGTGCTTTTATATATATATATATATATATATATATATATATGTGGAGAGAGAGAGAGGGGGGCTAATCCTGTGGAATATAAGAGATTACAGAATCTTTGAAAACAGTTTTTCCTTTCAAAATATATATTTTTAAGAAATGATATGAAATGTTCTTTGTCAGAAAAAAAAAAAAAAAAAAAAATTACTGCCAAAGTGGTACTAAAAACAAAAGCCTAATAATTTTTTTTTTTTTTACATCATCTACATTCAGACTATTGTCCTCATCTTTTTTGTTGTTGCTATCACAACGTAAATAGTGTCAATAATGACAACTCCTCAATAACAGAAATTCAAATAGAAAAGCCTAGTCTCCTTCTTTGCATTAAAACTTAAGCTATCTGTGGGGTGCAAAAGTTCCCAGCAATCCACCCTTTTTCTAGAGGGGGGAATAGAGCTTGTACATGCACTTTAATTTTTTTTTGTAACCTTTAGCACCCTGTAGGTGACTATTTTTGCCAAGCTAAATGTTAGTCCCGCCAATGCAAGTTGAATTTCTTGGTTGTGTAGTTATATCCTTCTATGGCAACACCTAAAATTATCTTGACTGAAATTGAGATCAAAGTTATTGCAATTTCAAATAGAACTAATATATAAAACACTATATTTTGAGGAGATTTCATATACAGTAAAAGGGGAAGTAATATTTATAAATGATGCAGAGTGCTAAACGTTAAACAATGACAAAATTGAAAGAAACTTCTGCATAGACACATCTAATAAAATACCATACCTAAAACGAAGAAATGCTGCCTGAAATTTGTTTTAACGCCCCGAGTAAAACAAAAACAAATGCTGTCTTGGGATAAATTTAGTTACCAAGTGCATTGTGGGATTAACAACTTCAATACCACCATTTAAAGTATAAAGTGATTTCCGTCAATCAGGAAGATCAATGACTCTTGAGCATAATGGCGAGGCACTCATCAACAACACCATGGAATGAAAGTCTAAAAGAGGCAAAGCCTTTAAAGCAACAAAGCCATCTGTGTAGACTGGATAGAAACGAACTTTACAGACAGGGTGGTTGTCTCACAGCACCCACACTTTCTACCCACAAATCTTCAGGGGCACTGACATAAATAAGTGAGATAGTTGTCTTAAGTCCCATCACAGATACAGGGATCTGACTCATCTTAGAAATTAAAAAAGAAAAAAAAAAAGTCTCAGATTAGGTTGTTCTGCCGAGTTGTGTGGTGTGTGGTGAATTAATTTGGACACAATTTTGCAGAGAGCTGTTTTTTTACCAAGCTGTTGCATGAGGGTTCTAAATTTCAAGGCTTATCTCGATTTAAATGTGACACTGACTGCATCTTCCGCAACCTACAAGTCCGTTTGGATTGATTTTCAAATTAATTCTATTTTCAATTCGTCCTTCACGTATTCATCATCAATTTGGCCCAGCTCGGAAAGGAGCCAGGCACTGAACATCTCGTCTGGGTCTCGTGCCTGTCCCAGCACTTGGCTATTGTTACTGTTGTTATTACTCATCTCTATTATTGACAAGTTGCGATTGGAAGACAAATTGAAAGCGCTTGGTTCTTCTCTTTCTGTTGGAGACGCTTCCTTCATGAGCAACAAATTCTCAGCCTCTGGTTCCAAACAATCATCAAGGCTGCCCCCTGATTCAATGCAGCCATCTTGACTGTCATCAACCCCCTCATAAGAAGGTCCTGGGGAAACATCTTCCATCTTGAGGGATTCAACTGGAAACTAGAAAATAAAAATATAAAAAATAAATAAATCAAGTGAAGGTGTTGTTTAATATTTGTGCCTGAAAAAAAAAAAAAAAAATATATATATATATATATTAACAGGACAGTTACTGCCTTCACACTACTATTATGGCATACACTTTTGACTCACTCAGCAATGTTTATTTTCATGATTATAATTTTTTTTTTTAGCAATATTTAACACTGATGCTTGCAAAAAAAAAAAAAAAAAAACTTCATGTCAAAAGGACAGTTATTCCTTTGATATCACTATTACTGTATACACTTTTGACTCCCTCAGTAATGTTTATTTATAAGATTATAAAAACATGTGAGCTAAGTACAATGTGATATTTATTATTTACCTTTTTATAAAGAAATAAATTTGAAAAGAAATCTTTTTATCCAAAAATTTATAAAAAAAAAATATAAAATTATCAAAATAATGAAAACCAACTACAATGCAATATTTATTATTTAGCATTTTATAAATAACTATTTTAGTGGATTTATGAGACAAGAACAAATGAAAGAAATACTTGAAAATGCATTTTTCAAAATTCATAATTGCTGTTTATCACCATCAAGTGTTTATTTAAATTTTCTTGTTCTCAGCCTTTTTTTTTATAAATTTATGAATAAAAAAAAATATTTCATTATAGTTGGATCATGTATTTTTATAATCTTATAAATATGAAATTATTCTTGCAGATAAACAATCTAATATATAAAGTGTTGAATATTTTTGTCAATTTTTAAGAATAAAGAAAATGCATAAATTCACCTTCTTGTATTTCAGTTTTATTAAAATTATAATCATTGCGTTTTTTTTAAAACAATAAACATTACTGAAGGAGTGAAGGGAATTTTTAATAATAGCGGTGTCAAGGGAATAACAGTCCATTTGACATCAGTTTTTTGTGGTCACAAAGGTTAAACATTGCTAAAGTGAATAAAAAAAATAAAAGACTCCATAAATTAAGAGGCTTGAAAAATAATTTTACCAATCTCTCAGTTCTAGTGAAGAATATGCATTTCTGAAAGAGTGTAACTTAATAATACACAAGAAAGAAAATTATTCCATAAATGCTGTTCTGTTATGAAAGGAAAAAAGAAGTTTGAGTGAAAAGGTGAATTTCTGCTGGCTTTTAGGCGCTCACAAAATGGATGCCAAACATCACAATCAATTTGAAAAGAAAACTATATTCTTTTTTCATTATACAGATATGAATAGGGAAAAAGTGAATTGAAAGTTATAATTGTGTGAATTTCTAGAATTACTATTTTATTTTGTTAGAATTAACAAAACCAATTCGTTTATTACCTTTTTACAAGATGTACAAACTGTTAGTTTCAATCCTGGTAAGAATGACTAAGAACAATTTTTTTTCTGAAATGATAAGTGCTTCTCTACAGATCTAATGGAAAATACACAAAAGCAATATACACAAGGTTCATGTTATCTTTGATGGTTTTTGTTGGGACACGTTCTTAAATTTATTTACTAATTTAAAAATTACACTGGTTAATTTAATTGTTGTTTACTTACATGTACCCCCACCACCAATTTTGATTAGTTTGGTTTATTTTGTTTTACAACATATCAACACCTCAATGGGTTATTTAATACAGACAAGATTTTTAGGATATGTTCGTATGAATAGAATACGTATTCTTTGTAAGAAGTTTGCAGATCAGGTTTCATCGATGTAAAGAGGGTTTTTCTTGAGAGTCAAATGTATTACTGGTAATATTTTTTTTTTCAATGTTTTGCTGACAATAATTTATTTTTACTATAAAAACCTATTTTTACATTTTCATAGTGTTTTGACTGCAGTTTGAGGGTTAACTATTTGCCCATAGTCAAATGCTATCAACCCAGGTCAGAGTGAACCTGGGAACAACAGCAATTAAGAGGGGTTCCACACTCCTAAAAAGATCCTGATCAGAGGCCTTGCTGCTAGATGTAGATTATCGTCATACCCAGGACACTTTATTGAGGGGCCTTATCCCACAGCTGTTTAAAACCCTTGTTTTTGTCATATAGGAAAATCCAACATGGCGCGTAAACGAAATATGCGGCAAAAAATCTCATTCGTCAGTAACATTTTAAACACCTCATAGAATGTAAAGTTCTTAAAGAAAACCTATGTCAAAAGTGTTTTCCTGAATCCTTGATGACTTGGCTGTCCAAAAATGATAATATCAAGATGAAATAATGGAAACTGACCGTGAAAAAATACAATTATGCGCAACAGGTTTTTCGATCAATTAGTAAACTTCTGGACCTTTTTAGGGCGACCTTATAGGATCCAGACGGCTATTTTTTTGCACATGGAATTATTCACTGGTAATTAATCTTCGATTTGGCTGTGGAAAATGTCACTTTCGGTTAGCATTAAGAAATTATGCACAATTTTCTGAGAAAAATCCCTTTTTTAATGAAAAAATATTTCATTTTCCCTTCAAAATAACATCATTCAAAATTCATTCCTTTCTCTTTCATTTGGCATGAACATCATTGAATAAAAAAAAAGGCTAAATGGACCGGCGATGGGAAAATACAAAAGATATGCGGCGAAAAAAAAAAAATGTTGTCTCTGCTAAGTGTTGTTGTCATCACCGGGTCACGGGGTGTTAAAAACAAAACAAAACTTATCAAGCCATTGTTCAAACATAGGTTATATATGAAGCCCTAGTAATTGTGAACCCTTTTTTTTTTATTCACCCTTTGCTTTTATCTGGGAGAGTGGTGGGTTTTATTACAACTTGTTCTAAGGTTTGCCGTCCGTTTATTGCTAGCTGGCTGGCTGGCTGGCTGGCTGGCCTTTGACCTAGACGTCAAAGTCAATTAGGTTTATTTTCCTTATCACTATTTTTTGGAAAAAAAAAAAAAAAAAAAAAAACTTTTGGTTTCTGGTGGTTAGGAATTGCAGATAAATCTCTTGCCTTTTACTAAAGATTTCCGTGGCCAGGTGTCAATTTTTTAACCCTTGGCAGTCATAATTGAAAATTAACAATGGATTTTGTCGCATTTTTGAACCCCTAGAATGTTGATTTCCTTCAAAACTCTCAATTTTATGCCTGAAATAGTTTGATTATGATCTAGGCTTTCTGATTTTCATTTTCAAAAAAAAAAAAAAAAAAATGGTTAATTTCCCATTAATGGGGGAAATATTTGTTTAGAACAAGAAAAAAAAATGCAAAATTTTCACTATTTTTCACATTTTACCCACTGAAAAAAATTTTTTGTCATTTACACCAGCTAATTTTACTTTTAAATGAAAGAATATATCTTTTGCTTTCAGAAAATACCTAGTTTCATGGGGTTCAGATCAAAAGTTTCCTTGATATTCGTTTAGGTGATGATAAAACAGTCATTTTTCAATATTTTACCCCTAAAAAGTATGAAAACCCATATTTTGAGAGAAAATAAGCTGTGACAAAATGACTTTTGCTATTTTTGTGATGATTTTCACTTGGGAAAGAAAATTTTTACCATAGGAAACCTGAATTGACTTTATTTAAGTTCAGTGGGTCTGTAGGAAACCTCAAACAGCTGTGATCCCTCTGCAGAGGTGCAGTTGGCATATTCTGAAGCTCTAGCTGACAGGGTAGCCATAATTTTGAAATCAGTGAAAGCCTGGAAATTAAACATCCTTTTGTCACAACAGGTAAAGAAAATAAATGATTAATAAAATGACTAAAAAATAAATATTAAATAAATAACAGGAGTTATATGAATTAATAATCTTCACACACACATATATATATATATATATATATATATATATACACACACACACACACACACACACACACACAGAGTAGCGGCCATAATATAAGGAACGGAAACAACAAAGACATAATTTTTTGCATTACTTAAAAAGTAATGCATGATTAGCAATGAAATTTTTACTGAATAAAGATTAGGGTGTAATGCATAAATATTATACAACGTTACAAAAATTTACATAATAGGTTTTTTTTTAAAATAAAGATTAAATGGAACAAAGGAAATAAGCGACTGGACAAAAGTTAAAGAACGATGTTAATAATTTGCATAAACTTAATTTACATTGTTAAAAAACTCGATGGAGTTTTTCAACAATAAGTAAAAGTTCATTTACTATTAGGACTTTATTTTTAAGCAATATGGTAAATTCTACATGCAAAACGCTCTCTTTGGAAGAAAAAAAAACTTATTATTGCTAACTATCAAGAAAAAAAGTCAATTTCAGAAATTTCTAATATTGTTCGTAGGTCTAAAAGCGTCGTTCATTGTGTAATTAGCAGGTATAAAACTGATAAAATGTTAGATGCAAAACCAAAAACCGGCAGACCTCCAAAAACATCGCAAAGAGAAGATCAAGAAATTGTTAGAATATCTATAAAAAAAAAAAAAAAAAAAAAAAAAAAACATTTTGAAACTGCTACATCACTTGCCCGTAAATTTAATGAAGAGTCAGATAATAAGATCTCAAGGAAAACGGTTGCTCACAGGTTAAAAAAAACGCAGGATTGCATGCCCATATTCAAGCTTCGAAGACTCTCATTTCAAAGCAAAACCAAAGGGCACGCCTGGAGTATGTGAGAGAACGTGTTGTTTGGACTGACGCACAATGGAATACAGTTCATTTCAGTGATGAGTCCAAGTTTACTATATTTGGTTCTAAGGGCAAAACTTACATATGCCATAGAACAGGTGAAAGACTGTCTTCTCAATGTGTCAAGAAAACTGTTAAGTTTGGTGGCGGTAGTGTGATGGTGTGGGGAATGATTTTATCTGCAGGAGTTGGCCCTATCATCCGCGTACATGGCAATATCAATGCTGAGATTGACAAAAGGCTTCTTCAGCAGCATGTGGTACCAAGATTACACCATAATCTTTATGAATCTCCTATTTTCATGCAGGACAATGCACCTTGCCACAAGGCTCAGAAAGTTATGGCTTTAATTGAAGAAGAAGGAATCGCCCTAAAGAAGTGGCCAGCCCAGAGCCCTGAAATCCAATAGAAAATGTTTGGAAGATAATTGGAGAGAGGGCTCAGAAAAGAAACCCGAAAAACCAGGATCACCTATAGGAGTTATTGAAAGACGAATGGGAGGGAATTACTGCTGATTTTTGCAAGAAATTAATTAGATCATGTGGTCGATGATGCAGAGAAGTCATTGAAAATAAGGGATGTTTACCAAATATTAAATTTTGTTGATTTTTGTTCACAATCAAGTATTAACAAGATCATTCCTTAACTTTTATCCAGTAGCTTATTTCCTTTGTTCCATTTAATCTTTATTTTAAAAAAAAACTATTATGTAAATTTTTGTAACTTTGTATAATATTTATGCATTACACCTAATCTTTATTCGGTAAAAATTTCATTGCTAATCATGCATTACTTTTTAAGTAATACACATATTTATGTCTTTGTTTTTCGTTCCTTATATTATGGTGGCTACTGTATATATATATATTTTCTCACCATTTGATTTTTTATTTTATTTTACTGGAAAAGGTCAATTCCATAGTGTAAATAATAACTTGGAAATTGCCTGAAAACGACACCACAGGTTGACCCAAGCCTTGTGAGTGAAATTGGTAGACATAACCCTTGTAGAATATATAGCAATGTTGCTATCATGAAATCAAAAGTTATGAATTTATATGAAAATTTAATAAATAGCATTGTTCAAATTGTTGATCATGCTAGATAACATGTTCTTTTCAAAGAAATTGTAACTAAAATCTATATTGATATATAGGTGGGCTCTGTGGGTGTTGAATAAACCCAAATGTGCCTGAGCAAACGTCTGATTCAAATAAATTTGGCTAGCTCCCTAGTAAACAGGTATCCTCAAATAATAATATACCTATTATATAATAAATCATTTGTTTCAAAATTCTCAATGATCTTTTGAACAAGAATTAGATTAATCAGCTTTTGTTTTTTTTATTTAAATAAACAGTTTGAAATAAAATATTTAACATCTTTATTTTCAGACAAAAGTTTTTTTTATTTGTTTTTAATATAGTAACTAAATACTTAACTGAACATTTAAGTAAAAGAGTGATGACTAAATAAATCTACCAAATGTATGAGTCGAGTGACAAGCTCAGAGGGGCATAAAAGAACCAAGATCGACATATAAACACGTCTGTATCTAGTTTTTGAACATTATGTTTTGGACGTGTTTAGTCACCCCCATGCATCTATACAGAACTTAAAGAAAAAATTCAAATTTTTATTTCAGTGAAAGGGTTTAAGTGTTGAGAATTTTTTTTTTTTTTAAATATAATCGTTTAGTGATACAAGTCTTAATAATTAACCCATAGCTGGGAGGAGAAGAAATTCATCATACATTTTCCAAGGGTATTTGTTTTTTTTGAATAAAGGAAAAACACAACTAGAATTGAAAATTGAAAGAAATTAATAATTCTTTCCATCATCCATTAAACCACCGACACATCCAAGAATGTTTTAATCAGAATTGACAAGGAAAAGTAGATTCATCTGGTAACTGACTAGGCTCCAACGTTTTTTAAAAAAATTAAATGATCATACAAGAACTAGTGTTTAATACTACAAAAATCATTTTCCAACAATGAGTTGAGAAGTTTATTCTTGATTTCTAGTTTCTTTTTGAAAAATTTTTTTAATTTTATTTCATCCCTAAAATTTTTTCAGCAATTTTATGGCATTTTCACTTTGCTTGGGGTTTTTTGATTATGCAAAAAAAAAAAAAAAAAAATAAATTAAATAAAAATACAGAAGAGTTTATTGATTTTTTTATTTTATTTTTTTTTTTTAAATTTATTTTGGATAGTAGAAATATTTAAATGAACTTGTTTCTCATCTTTTAATTTTTTTTTTTTTTTTTTCATTTTGAAATAATACTAGAATAAACGAAAAATATTAAGTCACATTATTCTGCAAATGAAAATTTCAATGATGAATTTGTGAAAAAAAAAAAAAAAAAAAGAAGTTATTGTAAATAGATAAACAATGAAATTGATGGATGTAAATTTTAAGTACAACATAATTTAAAAAAAAAAAAAAAAACCCTCTTCAAATATAAAAAGTTATCTCCCTTTAAGTTTATATGTTTTTGATTTCCTGCCAAAGCAATTTGCTGAAGTGAAGATTTAATGGTTTCAGTGAAGCTAATTTTTAGGCAAATGAAATCTGCTCTTACAAATTTTTAGGCAAATGAAATCTGCTCTTACAAATTTTTAGGCAAATGAAATCTGCTCTTACAAATTTTTAGGCAAATGAAATCTGCTCTTACAAACTAGATCCTATATAAATTTATTTCTTTTTTTTTAAATTCCACCATCAGGACAACATGCTTACTTTTAAGTTGCAGTAAGCATCCTATCTGTTGCCATAACAACAGATGTTATTACTTAAACATAATTGGTAAATTGATATGCTTCCATTGTAAGTTATCAACATGAAAAATTAGACCAGTCAATAAAGTTCCAATCTCCTCAAAGATGAAGAAGGAGAGACTTGAAGCAACAGAAATATGGTTCTACAGAAAGATGCTGAGGATACCATAGGCTGAATATGCGAACAACAATGAGGTTTTAGAGAAAATGGAAACAAAAAGGAAACCTATACTTATCAGGAAGAGGCAGTTGAAATTTCTGGGGTACATAATAAGGAAAGAGGGCTTGGTAAATCTGATACTCACAGGACAGATTGAGGGAAAGAAGAAAACAGCATATAACATACTTGATGGGCTTGAACAAATGGATGGCAGAAGAGGGTTTGGGAGAAATAACAAAAAGACAAAACAAGGGACAGGAAGATGTGGAGAGCTATGATCGTCTATCTCCTGAAGGGACATAGCACATAAAAGAAGATGAAGAGCAAAGTTCAAATTTCAGTTGAGGCCATTGTGTTTCATTTGACACAGATGCCCCTGGGAAGGTATAGATTCACCCCCCCACCCATGGGTTAAACAATAGAACAGACTGGGCCTGGGGTGGCAGCCAGTCTAGAAGAAAGAAAACTGATTACAAAACCAGTTGAGCATGGAGCTAGTAACTCCAACCCATGAAACTAACTAACTCAAATCAAAGGAGCACCATCTAGAGTGGTGATATTGTGGCAGTATACTATTTAGAGGGACCTTACAGGTTTAAGAAGTAGTGAAACCAGGTTGCTAATAATTATGAGAGAGTCTATCATTACAGAGAAACACACAGAAAAAAAGCCACACTATTCATTATTATAGATGATTATAATATAATGAAATGTGCCACATAAATGTGTGCCTGATGTTGCAGTCTCATTAAAATGTGGCTAATGCAGAATTGTAAAATTTTATGGATATTTCTTCTATGAAAATAAAAATCATTTCACCTCTTACCATGTAGGTGGATCCATTTCGGAGTGTCGTGTGAGGTCGCAAGAAACTATCCATCAACCCAAAAAGCCACCATCTGGATGCTGGAGTGTCTGCTTCTGACCCCCCACGGCAAGTGTCAGACAATTTGCCCAACTCCCGTCGGTACTGACTTTTCAACTGGTTCCATTTGCTTTTAACAAGGGATTCTGGAGAGGAAAAAAAAAAATCAACCTGAATAGTCAGGGAGGTAGAGACTAACTAAATATGTCTATATTTTCATTTTGTTATATGTTGTATCTCTCTTTTCTTTTTTTTTCAAACTAAATTTGTGACAACTGTCACAAAAAGGTTCCAAGTTCAATACCAACTCTAGGATAATGAGAATAATAATCAAATGTCAATTTCTCTAATAATAAAAACTCACTTCACTGTCAAGAATTTATATTAAAATTATTTGCAAATGCTAATTATCATTAAGTTTCAAAGCCTTAAGCAAAATGGAAAACTGTTATTAGCAGTTAATAGATGTTGAATTATCTTCGTTAGAATTTGTTTTGTCGTTGCTTCTTTTGATCAAGTAATAATTAAAATTACTCAAAAACAGTCACCTTCTTGGACTGTAAATTGCTTCATTCTTTAAGTTAGAACATTGTAACAGTATCATACTAACAAAAACTGTGTTACAATGAATTGTTTTTGTTGTGTTATGGTTACACAGAAACAGACAGAAAATAGATAATTTATTATATAGATAAAAAAAACAAAACAAAAAAAACAACAGGAATTCAAATTCTGGCATACAAAGCAGGCATGACCTTCAACCTTGGTGCAACACAGTCAACCTATATGCAAACATCTTTGGGCATCTATTATGATGGTTAACAACCTAATCTTGCTGTTAACGGATTTTTTTTTATTTTTTTTTTTTTTTTACAGCTTATGGGTTATTTAAAAAACAAATCATACTTTGAATTATAATTTTTTTTCTTTTTGCAAGTGAATATTGAATAAACAATTTTCCTGAGAATAACAAGGATCTTTCCAGATACAAGTCCTATTATAATGAATTCACCAAGGGTATTTGTACTTAAATGAAATGTAACAGACTTGACTGGGATTTGAACTCTGCTATACAATTTCTTATTCTGAGCAACTATCCTTGCTGACTAATTCACTTGACTAGTGATTTGATCCTCTCTGGATGCTCCCAACACTAGTGTCTTAGTAAATATTTGGGCACCTCATTATATAGTAGTGGTTAACAAGCTAGTTTTCTTGATTAAAACTGCCAGGAGTTCAAGCCTTGCTAAGTGAAACATACAAATTGCTTAATATCAGACTAAACATAGTAAATATACATGGAATCTTTTTCACAAAAGAATCTAGTTAGGCACCCAATATGAAAGGGAACATTTATTTTTTATTGTTTTTTTGTTGGCCTGGGGAATAATTTATTCAGTTTTGCTTGAAACATTACTATTTGACCAGAGACAATGGTTTAAAAGAATGAAACTTAGAACCCCAAGCAAGGCAATAAAGCTACTAAGACACAAGGGGTTACTGAATGTGAAAGAATAAGAAAAAAAGAGAGACATTATTAAGGAGCGAGAACAATAGAAGAGGAGCAATCAAGAAAATAGTAGATAATGATTGAAATTGCATTTAAATTTTTGAAGGTCAAAGTTGACAGGAAAGCAAGAAGCTGGAAGAGAGTTCCACATGCAAGAAAATAAACTGTTTACAAAGAACTTATGGTTACATCTAACCATTTCAACTTTAAAATGATGAGATATTACTGCTAATCTAGTACTGTGTTTAAATTCAGAAAGTCTAGGTACCATAGTGGAAAGTTCATCTGAACAATTAACATGAAAATATTTATAGAAAAGGCACAGGGAAGCTATGTTTAAAAAAAAAAAAAAAAAGAAAAAATTCAACTCTGGTTGTATTTTGACAGCTGCTATATCAGCATGAATTAAAAATAAAATTTGCTATATTTTAATTTAGTGATTCTCATAGTGAAATGAAAGAATGTTTTTTGTTTTTTTTTTTATTTTAAGAATGGTAAAAATCTAAATGAAATGCAAAAAAAAAACCCCCAATGATTTGTGTAGTTTATGGAACTGTGAATGACTGAATATGTCAAAAGTGATTTGCTGGTGATTTCCTGCTGAATGATGCTTCTTGCTCGGCAAGACGAGATTGACAACAAATCAAATATATATATATATATATAAGTGTGGACCACTTAAAAGGTACTTATACTTTTAGGAATCTAAAATAATACATCTGCTATATGAGTAGATATTTATAGAGCCTTCCTTTGTCTGACACGAAACTAATAGTAAAGTCATTTGCAACGCATTCCTATGTTAATGATGAAATTAGCCTTTTCTATACAGGAAACATGCAGGATTCATTAACTGAACAGTTATGCATTTTTGTCGTCCAATATAAAATCTTTTTCTTAAAGTAGTTTTTTAGGAAATTAGACTTCTCAGGTCTAATAAAATGATTTTGCTCTCTAGTACTGATGGGAATTCCCTTCCAAACCTTTTGTTTAAGGCAATATGGAAAGTTAACAGCTTGATTACATCATTATTTTCTCTTCTAGTTATATGTGCTACCCATCCTTGATGTTGCTGGTGCCATCAGCTCAGTGACAAATTTTATTCAATTAATCATATATATATATATATATATATATATATATATATATATATATATATATATATATATATATATATATATATGACACACACACGTTTTTTTAGAGGATGCAATGGATAAATTGTTGTCTAAATTATATAAAAACAAAAATAACATTGACATCTCATTTTAACAGATATATTTACCAAAATAATGCTAAAAAGTAAATTAATTCAATAAAATCACCATTGGCTTCAACCACTGCCTTCAGACAACTTCAAAATCTCCTGCAACTTTTCAGGATGGTCTCCTCCTTTAAATTGGTGAATGCTGCCATAATCCTTTCCATCAGTTCATCTTTGGTGTTACAATGAGTTTTGTTGGTTTCTTGTTCAACTGTGCCCCACACATAATTATCAAAGGGGTTGTAAATCTGGGGAGTTAGGAGGCCAGATGTAAGCGGTGATCTGGTCACAGAAATTGTCTAACAATAATGACTGGGTTCTCTACTTATATGGCATGGTGCAGTCTTGTTGCCAGACATAGCGTCTTCCAAATTTTAAAGCATTCCTATCTCTCCCCTCCCTCTCTAATTTCGACCATGTCTGTCACACTATCTCTCACCACTCTCTACATCACCTTACATAAGCTTAATACTGCCCTTCAAAAGTGTAAGTTTAAATTCATTTTTTCATCCTTGGAAGGGAGATCTGATGATCCACGGAAAAAGAAAGTCTCTGGTGAAATAAATTATAACAATGGAACATTAAAGGTTCTGTTTTTCTTTAAATTAAATTAAAATATTATTAAAATATTTTTATTATAATAGATTACAACAAAAACATTTTACATTGCTACACAATTGAAGTTCCGAAATATGAAATTTTTTGTGTAGCGATGTAAAATGTTTTTATTGTAATCTTTTAGAATAAAAATATTTTAATAATTTATTTAGCTCTATGTTTGTATTGAGCACTTTGTAAAAAGTAAATGCAAAGAACCGTGGATTCTAACTCCATCTGTTCTTTTTCTTAATATATATATATATATAAAATACACACCCATGTACATACAACAGGGACGTTGTTGATAGTATCAGTGTTAAGCTAGCCTGACATTTATTGTGCACATGTACATTAAATCAAGCATTTAATTAACCCTCTAGTATTCAACACGCTAAATCTGTACTCTGACATAATCACAAATAATGGTGGAAATCATGCAAACAGTGGGACATTTAGAGCCAATATTTACAGAGTGGTTTTGAGTGTATTGAATGCTAGAAAGCTAAAGACTAAAAATATCTAACACCTAACCCCAAACCAGAAACCTTCATTCTACATCAATTTTTCTTTATTGCTTTTTTTTAATCATACTTATTATAAAACCCAGGTTGTGTGTGTGTATCTGTACAATTATATATTAGATCGGATTTCCTACATTTTTCAACCGATTTCAACAAAACTTCAAAGGACTACGTAAAATTACCTTGTGGTGGTTCTGACAGTGCCAAAAATTGGAAAAGCACCATTGTTTTTTGCATGAAATCAATCTGAAAACATGATTAAGAGGCATCGCCAGAATGAAAGGGGGACAACTCATGTCAAGTTATACTTATTATAAAACCCAGGTTGTTTGTGTGTGTGCGTGTGTGTTCCTTTATATATGGGATCGGATTTCCTACATTTTTCAACCAATTTCAACAAAACTTCACTTTTTTGGGGCAGGTAGTGTTTCTTATTGCTTGCACACTTTTTATTTTTACATTCAGAATGCTTTAAAAATTCCATTTACAAGGCAATTGTTTATAATAAAATTCTATTCAATCGGTAGACTCATAACAATTGAAAACAATGTTTTTGTTTGAGTTTGACCAATTTGTAAAAAAAAACAAAAAAAAAACAAATTAAGACATGCGTGTCCGGCAACCTTAAACAATAATCTTTGTCAATTTTATTTTTCAGTCTTTATGATGGTCGATACTTGATCTACTGTTACATCCCCGGGCAATGCCGGGTTCTACTGCTAGTTCATGATAAAACGTACAAGGTATTGCTGAGAAGTTATTTGCCTAATGAAGAAACCTTTCCAAAAAATAAAATAAATTGATGTTTGGTCAATTAAGGAAATCTTTGGAAGTTGGTTGGGTCAAGAACTTTTCAGCATCACCTCATTTTTCTAAAACTAATTTTTCACTTAATACAATACCCACGAGCCACTCAAGATAGAGGGTTACTGAAGGAGGTTGCTGCATGAATGTAAAAGGAGGTAATAAGTGCAGTTTTTGAGGGCATATGGGAAAGTAATGGTTAAACTTAGACATGAAAAAGTTAAGAATGTAGTGATTGGAGAATGCATACACTCAGGAGTAAGTTCCACAAAGTAGCAGTTCTTGAGAAGATACTGTCCAAATAGGACTTTATCCTTACTAATGGAATACAAAGGGAATGGGGATAAATTATCCCAATGTATGTGGCATGACAAGTTTTAGATGCGAAGACCAGAACTGGTGGCACTAAGGGATGTAACTGGACAGAACATTTGCCATGGAAATAGTATTAGAGTAGTGAGAGGCTTAGAATGTTTTGTTTGTGGGAAAAGGGGTTGTAGAGTGAAAAATAATTCATCACCCAGAAGGCCATGTAGTCACTTTTGAACTGGAAAGTGCACTGGGCAGCTTCAGCATAGATTTGGTTTGAACTTAAAACTTGTCAAAAGGTGCTTTAGCATGAGATAATTGTTAGTAAGGTTGGTCCAACTGACAATTACTATTGAGTAAGGAGTTCAATCCTCACGGGGCGCACGTACAAAAATTGGTTGGGGGGCACTTCAACGTGACGTAATAGCAAACTTGTCTCGCTAGATCAATTACAGTTTAGTAGTGAGTTCACAGATTGCGATGGATAATTGAATTAGTTTTAAATTTAGTAAATAAATGGTTCATAAGATATGTCTAAAAAAAAAAAAAAAAAAAAAAATTATCCCGTAGACTGTTTTTTCAAAGACAAAGTTTTAAAGCGCATGTTTGTTTGGTAAAAAAGGTATCTCCTTTCAGCTATGAGTTAAATAGCAAGGTAGACTGTGCTCTCTAGCCATGATTGGCAACCAGTCTAAGAGACATGAAAAGTCATTTTTCCAAGTAAGTCATTGAACTAATTGAAAAAAGGAAGCCGTGGAGAGCAATGATCGCTACTGTCCTGAATTGAAAAGACATTAAAAAGTAATAAAAAAAAAAAAATCAACTTAACCTTTTGGGGGGAAAAATGTTAGGTTAGTGAAAGACTTACCGGATAAAAATTTCTGGTTCTGTTACTTACAAAACAATGAAACCTGAAATTTTTATTTGTTTTTTTTTAACTTAGCGATTTAACAAGAGTTTCTAATACACATTTTTATTTTGCTTTCCGAGCCTATTTATCAAAACATGGTACTTATTCTCTAAAAAGCAGTATACTATTTTCTGTACAGTTTTATATTGGATTCAAGTGTATTTTATCGTAAATCAGTGGTTTGGTGCAAGCAGACAATGAGTTCAATCCCCAAACTATATTTCATTTTTTTGTGTCAAACAAAACAAAATTATATATAACTTAAGTTAATAGGAGGCATCCTGTAACACACTGTGACTAAATATAGAAGGCAAGTTTATAACAAAATACAATTCACTATTTACCACAAAATCTGTGGCCTTGTGCCAGACTAAGTTACTTAGTAACTAATACATAAACAAATAACTTGTATGCATGCAAGTCCTAATAAAATACACCAATAAAATTGTTCAGGAAGTAGAATTTAATTAACTTGTTTTTTGTTTTAAGATGTTTGCTTAATAAAAAACAAACATGCGTTTTAAAACTTTGTTGTTGAGAAACGTCTTTGAAAAAACACTTTACGAGATAAGATTTGTTTTTTCTTTCTGTTTTTTTTTAGAAATATCTTCGTATGAACCATTTATATTTACTAAATTGAAAACTGGATCAATTATCCTTTCCGTCGAGTAATTTCGGTTTACCACTTACCGGTCCAAGCTTTCCCCATTTCATCGGCAATGGATCTTAGAGCCTCGTTTCTGGCCACCGGAATCGTGTATTGCGGACATTTCGTGTTCCATAGCAATTCGTGCTTTCTGTAACAAGCCACAAATCGTTTAATCTCGCGAGGGCTCAGTGAAATGCTCATCTTTCTGTTGTTATTATTCTTGTGAAGAGAAGACAAAGGAGGAGACGACATTTTCGTGGTTTGTTTTCCTCGTTCACGAGATTTTCAAGATACCCGCCAAGATGGCCGCAACCGGAAGAGAGCATCAAATCTCGTAGGGAAATCTCACGAGAAACACCGGTCGAAACGAGACTGAAGGAATCGCTTTTCACATAAAAAAAATGCTGGATGTCATTTATAAGTAATAAATAATTTTGAATTGAAAAGAATAAAATATTAATTATTGGTAAATAAAAATTAAATAAAAGAAGATCATAAAAATACTTATGTTAAAATTTCATGGTCTGGTTTCTCCTAGCATTAACGTTTTAGCTCCAAACAAAATAATGAGATAAAACTGGAAGAATAAAGTAAATTAAGTATAAAAAATATAGGTAAATAAAATATTAAAAATATTTATTTGTCTTTATTATTGGGAACTGGGGAGTATAAGTTGCCTAAAGCTTGAAACTGTACTCTAAACAATTAAAAGTATTCTTTTTGATCTGAAAAATGAATCTTATATTCATAAAATATGGTCTATTCCTCAATCTTTTTTTTTCTTTTCTTTCTCTCTCTCTCTCTCTCTCTCTCTCTCTCTCTATATATATATATATATATATATATATATATATATATATATATATAATGGACTCTCCCGTCGGTTTCGACATATAATGATCTGACAGCTTAGTTGATTAATTTATGAAATTTTGTGTGATAATCTTAAGTGGCATTTAAGATCCACTAGTGATTTACAAAGGATGCCACATATGGAGCAAGTCTGAGGATTGTAAAATGAGATCACTGTTAGATTGGCTGACCTTTTTAGATCTTGCTCTCGCTTCTTGAAGATGATTCAGACAAGCAGATTGTAAACTGCTGAGTCCACTAAAAACGTTGATCTCCATTCTACCCGCTCCAAGGCTAAGCGCTGAAGGGTGTTATGTGGTATAGTGACAGCTGACAAGTTGCTTTTCAGCTTGTCTTTGTATCTTAGCCATGGTTGTCCTGCATTCCTGTAGCCCTGACCTAACTGGCTGTACATAGGATCTTGGGTATCCTGTCATCAGACATTCTCAAGACATGACCAGTCCACTGTAACTGAGACTGTATGAGAAAAGTCTTGATTCCTCCAATATTACACCTGTTAAACAGGTCTACGTTAGATGTCCTATCTTGATGGTTAACTCCACAGATTGCATGCAGACAGCTTTTATGGAAAACATCTAGCTGGCGTATATAATATCTGTATGGAGTCCATGACTCTGAGCCATACAAAAGGATGGCAAGTACAACAGTTCTGTAAATCCAAATTTTCATTTGGAGGAGAGTCTTTTACCCCTGTATTTTTTCCACCACAGTTGTTTTCCTTTGTGTTGAGCTCATGAGAGTTGTGGCCCCTTTTAGAGAGTAGAACTCTTCTGCCCTTTTTATCTTTGCTTCTGTTCTGGGAGGAACGGCCTCTTTACCTTCCTGATTTAAATTAAAATCTCCACAAAAACAAAGAAACTGGTCAACATCCATGCCTAGCTTAAAAGAAAAAAAGTATTTTATTCTATTCACTTATCTAATATCGTACATTTCAGGCCATAAAGTTGGTTATGTTATTTCTTTGTTCCTTTAGGACAATATGAACAATCATTTGTTTTGGGACACATGTAAATCTTTTTTAATATATATAAACTTGTTTGCCGTATTAAATGTTTTGTTTGTTATGTTCATGTTTTTTATGTTTTCTATATTCAGATTCAGTGTTAGTGTATCAATGGCTACACTAATGCTAATATTAGTATCAGTGTGCTACTGGAAGACTAAAACATGTTATTCTTCCTAACACAAAAGAGTCGGTAAACTCTGTGTGTCAGATTCCACCATACTAATACCCAGCTCATTCCACAAGCAATGGGGAAGTTTGCTGAAAGCAAATATATATATATATATATATATATATATATATATATAATATCCAGAGATCTGAAGTCATGATCCATTGCATACATATGAAAAAAAATTCCTGTTAAGCTCATATGTGGCTGGTTAAAAAAGTATGTACATTTAAATTAATCCCCTACTGATTAATCCCCTATACATTTATAATACCCTACTTTTTATATAATATCTTCTTCTTCTTTTGCAACTTCACATCCTTCTCCTCCCTTTCTTTCACACCCAATGCCGTGTTTTTTTTATTTATTTTAAAAAATGACATAGCATTTTTTTTATATTGTTTTTTTTAAGCGTTGGGGGGTCAATTGGTAAAAATCACCTGGGGATACTGTAACCTTGAAACCAAGGTAGTGAAATAAACTGACCTAATTTTTATATATCTATCTATCTATCTATCTATATATATATATATATATATATATATATATATATATAATATCCCAAGAGGATAGAATCCATATAGAACTCAATGTCCAAGACAAAGTAAAAATATAATATAAAAGGCTCAAACACTAATATTCCATGGTTATAATTTATTACATTGGGATTGTAATCACAATCTATTTCATCAGACCTTGTTATCAAAAAGTTTATATATATATATATATATATATATATATATATATATATATATATATATATATTGTAAATTCTTTGCATAAGAGACCCGGATATAAGAGCAAATCAAAATATAAGAGAGATTTTCTCTGGTCCCAAATTAGAGCCTGTGTTAATGTATATAAGATAGACCAAACCCTGATATAAGAGAAACCCGGATATAAGAGACTTCTTCTGCAGTCCCGACAACTCTCTTATATCTGGGTTACACTGTATATATATATATATATAGTCGTATGGATATGAGTTTGTGACCCTGGGTTTCACACTTTTGTGAACATATATATATTATAAAATGGATTAAGTCTGATAATGATTTAACATATTTTCTCTTTGCACGTTATTTTAATAGATACAATTTATTTATGTAAATGCTATGTTTTTAAAATAAACAGCATTAATTACATTTATTGACCTGAATTTTCAAAAAATTTTGTAGAAAATATGCATTCTTCAATAGGAATAGAACATGTGTCCTACATGGAACTGTCACTTGATCTAATGTGATATACCAGTCCGTTATAGAGAAATCATGTGGTTAGCAAAAGTCAAATTACTGTTTATAAATAACAAATCTTCAAAGATCTTTCCTGAATGATCATGAAATGTACCTTAATGTAAACATTGATAACATATTATCAGATGGATTAAGTCTGACAATTATTTGATATATTTTCTATTTATATGTTATTTAATAGATACAATTTATTTAAGTATTTATTTATTTAATAACATTCAGTTCAGTAAATGTAATTAATAATATTTATTTAAAAAATAGAGCATAAATTGGATACGACAGATTAATAAATGAAAAATGTATTCCAAAAATATATATGAGAGTAAATCAAAAGTGAAAGGCAATTTTCATAGAACAGTAATTTCAACTGATGAAAAATAAATGCATATATGTTTCATTTCAACATAGTTCTGCTGCACAGTGATACACTTTTGGTATCGTTAAATGAGCTTCTTCATCCTTTCTGAAGAGAAGCTTTTTCAATTGCTCATGAAGTCATGTCTGCACCACTTGTTTGTTTTAGCAACCAATGCACATAATCTTTATGGCACCCCAAGTCATCATGCACTATGGCTTGTGCATTTCCGTAGTTGAGGCCCATGATTGCCATCACTTGTGTAAATGTGACTTGTTAGTCTTCCTTGACCATTCGATGATTTGTTTTATTTTGTTTTACAGCATATCAACCTCAATGGGTTATTTAATGCCAACAATATTTTTATTGCTGTTAATATTTTTTATCTATCTATCTATCTATCTATCTATCTATTCTATTCATATCTATCTATCTATATCAGTATATATTTGTTTTTAAATTTTTTGTTTTTTGTTTGCAAAACTTTCAATGAGGTTATTTAATGCCAAGAAGATTTTTTTGCTGTTAATATTTTTTATCTATTTATCTATCTATCTATCTATCTATTTCTATATATTTCTATCTCAGTCAGTTTTATATATATCTCAGTATATAAGTTTTTGTTTTGTTTTACAGCATATCAACCTTTTTTGGGTTATTTAATGCCAACAAGATTTTTTTTTTGTTAATATTTTTATCTTCTCAAAATATTTTATTTATCTATCTCAGTATATATTTGTTTGGTTTGTTTTGTTTTATGGCATATCAACCTCAATGGGTTATTTAATGCCAACAAGATTTTTATTGACTGGTAATATTTTTTTTTTTCAAAAATATGTTGTTGATAAATGTGATGAAATAATTCTGCCACTCCCATGAGTGGTGGCAAATAGGTAATTTGAGGATTTTACAAATTTCGAGCTGGGATTTTTGAGAAAATGTTTCCTGAATGATAGAGCACACAAAACGGAAAGTTGTTAATATTATGACCGTTTTTTTATAACTATTACCTTTGTTACTATTTTCTCCAATAAACCTTTACTATTTATCCACCATGTTTGTCCATTCCATATTCCTATAAATACGGCATGTAACAGTAATATTTTTTTATATTTTTATATGTATTTCTGGTAATTTTTTTTTTAAAATGTATTGCTGGTAATTTTTTTTTTTTTCAAAAATGTATTGCTGGTAATTTTTTTTTTTTTCAAAAATGTATTGCTGGTAATTTTTTTTCAAAAACGTACTGCTGTTAATTTTTTTTCAAAAATGTATTGCTGGTAAAAATTTTTCCAAAAAAATATTGCTAGTGTTAAAACCTATTTTTATACTTTCATATTGTCTTCACCGCTTTGGGGGGGGGTAATTATTTGCTCATAGCTGGGACCTTAACAGGTGCTACTACCCTGGGTCAGAGTGGACCTGGGAACACCAGCAATTAAGATGTGGTTCAATGCTCTTCAAAACCTTCTGATCAAAGGCCTTGTTGTCAGATGTAGTTTACCATCTTACCCAGGACACAGATGTAGTTTATTGCCATACTCAGGATGGCCTGATCAAGGTATTCAACCACCTGGATGTGTTCTGTGCACAATATTGATAAGTGACCGACTTTTATCCATTATATTTGTTCTTCCCTCTTTAAAATGTTCTACCCACTCATGCACCTTTTTGATGATTCATGGTACATGCTCCAACATCTGGTCATGGATTTCCACAGGTTTGACTCCTTCTGCCCACAGAAAGTGCACCATGGCATGTTGTTCCTTGATGGTAAAATCATTGAGTGGAGCATCTATATGTCTGGTTTTGTTACGCCCTACCACTCAAATGAATGATTGAATGTTTTGCACAGAATGAATTAGTTTTAAAATGTCAACATAAAAACAAATTCAAATTTCCATAATATAGGTTTAATTAGCTACTATATTTCCATAATATTCACTCCCCTCTAACTCTTCAAATGTCGAAAGTAATTCTAATTTCTATATTCCACCCCCCATAACATCTTTACTTTATGTTAATTATAATTTATAAACTTCCCCTACTCTAAAATCTCCACAACTGTCTTTCCATTAATCCCTTACATCCTTTTATCTATATATTTTAAATTTATTTTTAAACCCCTTTTTATTCCT